GGTGCTCAATAAAGGCTGAAATTGCGGTACTGAATCCCATATCCAACCAATAGCCTTTGTTGTACCACTCACTGCCACCAGATGGCAGGTCTCCATCAGAAGTCCTCTGGCCTTCATTATCCTCACCCCCTCTAACCTTTCCGCAGAGTACTTTATCTCACTGTAGTGGTATTATAAACTGTTTTTAGTTTTCTCTCTCAGACCAGAGTGAGAACTCCTTCAGGATAAAAACATAAACTAAAGATAATTCATCTTAGACCCAGAAGTATCAGGTACTGGCCTGAACTCAGCAGGTAAATACAGGGTCCGCAGAAGTAAGGCCTGCTTGAGTGTGGTTGATAGGGTAATAATATGGGTGTAATAATTTATAGTTTTAATTTAACTCTTCCACCAAAAATGTCTTATGGTGTGCTTGAGTGTGATATTGTTATGTTACAGAATTCATACTTTTGATTTTGTAATAAAAGATTTTGTAATTTAAAAAAAAAAGGGTGTTATTTGTGCTGGACCCATTTTTAGAATGAATAAATGGATGTATATTTCTCTGAAAACTAATACAATCTTACAATAATCTCCACACTTTCTTTCCCAATGACCAATTAAGACACATTAATTGGGAATTTCTGTGGCCTACCAAGTGTCTGGAGATGAGAGTTTAGAATGGTGAAAGAATAAAAGGTATAATGAAGGGGTTTTTTGCCAACTGAAATGGGAGTCTCTTTGGAGGAGCCCCTCCAACTCCACAACTCCTTAGGCTAATGGTGAAGATGTCACTTCTTCCACCTGGGCATCTCATTCTGAGGTGACAAATATGCTGCTCTCCTTGGAGAGAGCCCCATGTAGTAGGGATTGACAAGGCTTAGCCCTAGGGAGCTTCCAGATTGATGAAGAAACACATCTTCCAACATGAAACAAAACTAGTCGTGGCTTGCAGACTTATCCTCTCGAACACCCCAGCCCTCACAGGCCCACGTGTTCAATAGACCACCAACAGCTCTCTTTTCCCACTCAGGAGAGCCTCCTCTTCTCCCCACACCAGGAACCCTGGGCCTGAGAGGGATACTGAAATATTCTCCTCTTCCTTCTCTGGCCATATTGTTGAGGAACTTTGCAAGTCATTGAGGCTAAATTGAGGGCCAAAGGGAGGGTCAGGAGCTCAAGCAGCTGTGGCATTTGGACTGGGAGTCAAGTATCCCCAGGGGGTGGGAAGAGACAAGCTTCCAGGGAGGAGGGGTAGACACCAGAGATTGAAAATCCCTGAGCTCTGCTCAGTGTCACAGCTCGGGGGAATATGCATGGAGGCCCATTCTCCCCCTTCCCACCCTCCTTATCTAATTAGCAGAGGAGTGTAAAAAGTCAGAAATCCTATCTCCCTCTCTTCTGGCATTCGCCAGTCACCCTCCACCCTTCTGCTCCACACCTTCCCCCAAACTGCTCTGCAGTCTAAGTAGCCTCTGGAGGCTCAGAGCTCTGGCAGAAGTCTGGAAAAGATAAGTGGGGGAACAAGGGATTTGGGGAGTTTAGTGAAAGTGCACATTTGGAAAGACGTATTGGCCCGGGATACATACCATCGTCATCATAAAGTGACCAACCACTCTGGCTTTCTGAGGCTGTCCTGGTTTAAGCACCTAGAGTCCCAAACCACAGGAATCCTGGAATCTCAATGTTCTCAATATTAAAAGTGGAAGGGAACTTCCAGATTATTTGATCTGATCCTACCTCCTTTCTAGCTCCATGAATACCCTTCCATAGGTACATGCATTTATTTATTGTATTCTACTTACCACTTTCTACCCTATATTACAGTTAGACACACAACTTATCTCCTACTTACTAGATTCCAAGCTCCTTGAAGGCAGGTAGCAGGACCTATATGGCTTAGCAAGGGTTAAAGCTTTATACATGACTGGAACAAAAAAAAAAATATATTTTATGTTCGAGTCCACAAAATATTTTGTATTTTATCTCCCAGTGGCCTAGAGGAGGGACACAGGGCTCCAATGGCTTAGAAAACTGACTATTAAATTTTCAGGAATTTTTCAAACTGGTTGTTAAACACAGTCATTATTAAAAATTAAGTTGTATAAACTTACAATTAAACAAATGATATTAAAAACAAAGATAAGTACTCAAAATTCATCATTTCTTAATTATTTTATATTTTACTATTAGCTATACTCAAGGTTATTTACATCTATTATTTCTATTATATGATAGAAATAGTGTATTATGATCTGCTACTGTTCATCTCTTCCCAGGCCCACTGGGAAGTTTGAAATTGGCCATGGTGAGAGTATTTACACCATGAAAATGCCAACACTGCCAATCATGGCTTCTGTCACTCCAAAGCTGGTTGTTAAAATCTACCAGCACGCCACTGGTTCAGGGACACTATTCTGTCTGTCCTGTCACAGGCCCACTCTATCTCTACCGTCATCTTCTGCTCTAGTCTTCATTCTAGATTTCCATTCTGGAAAGAGAGAAACCAAGAGTTGGATCATCACTTACAAACAGATAGTAGAGCTGGAATTAAGGAAATGGATGCACATGTTGGGTGCAAATGCTTTGCAGAATGGAGTGCCCTTCTCTGACTCTTCTCTCCTTCCAGGAAACCTGTGTCCACAGTGAAAGCACAGAGGACTTAGGTAGACAGAGCTCTAAAGGACCCTGGAGGAGACATTCGTTGTCCTCCAGGTATCTATCTTACAGGCCTATCTTGATGGCCAACTGATGGTAACTAAGGTGATTTCAATGCTGGTATCTAGGGAAGGCAACACCTCCCCATTTCTGACCTACAATCACCTGTGGGATTCATAGATTCTGCAAATCTTAAAATTAGGATTAAAGGATTCAGAAAGGTGGGGAAAATGTTTAGAGGCCATTCGATATTTTCTCTACTCCCTCATTTTACAGAGTAGGGAAACTTCATTCATTCATTACGGGAGACTTCATTCATTCATTCATGAAGAAACTGAGTCCATATAGTAGTTAATAGCTTGCCCAACGTCACACAACAGATTAGTGGCCAAAGTCCAGGGTTCCCAATACCTGGAGCAGTGATCTTTCCTTAACATCTTAAATTCCTTTTAAAGAAATTGTAAGATCTTTAGAAATCTGAGCAGGATCAGGCACAAAGTTTGTACACATAAAAAGCACACTAACTTCCCCTCTGCTCCCTAGAAAGTAAAGGAAGATTTTTATAGAGTGCCGACTAAATGCCAGGTGCTATGAGGGACAAAGAAGAATTAGACCCAGTTGATCAAACACAGGAAGTGAATTTGGAGTCACTCCTTATACTCTTTCAAGGGGTGTGAGGGGACTTCCCTAGGGCTAATGTGAACCCTGATCTGACCTGTAAGTAACATGGAAATCAACCCTGCTGTCTTAAGAAGTGAAAGTTAAACATTAGATTCTTGATTGGGACTAGTGGGAAACAGAGGAAAGGCCACTGGGACATACTCAGTGGGCTTTTCCCAAGCAATTCAAGTCTCCAACGCCTTTTTCCGCCCAAGGAGAGAAGCCCACAAGCAGGCGGAGGAAGAGCTTGCTGGGCTGAGGCAGAGCTTTTGTCTGTTAAGGACATTTGGCATTTGTGACATTTGTACCCACCCTTCTAGAAAAATGAAACTGAAAAAAGGGCATAAAAAATAGGAGCCCAAATTTCTTATTATTATAGTCAACATGTCTAAAATTACTCCATCAAGTGGTTATAAAAATTTCTAAATATTTTCATTTCTACACTTACCCTATCAGAAAGATAAGCTAAGTTAGCAGACCGACACCAACCCTAACCCATACTTTGAATTGCCCTAAAAAGGCCTGAAACCCCTTTGCCCCAAAACCCCTCTGGTCAGTGGAAGTCTGAGCTCTGTTTCTCATCCAAATCAGGTCTGGGTTACTGGAAAGTGATCTGAAAACCCATGGTCACATGGTACTGAGTCAGGACTCTGACTTCCTGTTGGTACTTCCCTCCGAATCTCTCTAGTCTGCCTTCCCCAGCCTTCGGAAAGGGCTTCAGCCGCTAAGGAAAATCTCTGCGGCCTCACTAATCCTCAATCCTACCTAATAGTGCCTCAGATCCCTACTAGGGGGCAAAATCATTCACTCGTTTGTTCATTCGTTCCTTGGTCCATTCCTTCATTCATCCAGTCACCTTCTTAAGCACTACAAATAAAAAATCAATCTAAAAGACAGATTCCCGCCTGAGGGGCTGATGTCCTTGAAACAAAGTGGTATGAGAAAGAAAGCCACCAGTCTTTTCAAATACAGCCCTGGGTGTCCAAAGGTTGATTGCCACACATACCAGCAGCTCACAAACTGGAGATCTAACCTTCAAGCACAAAATGATAGATCTATTAGGAATGAAAGAAACTTATGAGAACTTACTTCAGTAGAAGGTGCTAAAAGGCACTGTTGCAAAGATGACCTATGAAGTGCTTCTGCTTCATGGTCACCAAGAGAGGAAGTAGGAATAGTGCACCCCCTTACTTGGGTTACATACATAATTATAAACACCTTAGGGAGAAAGGCAGGGCAAGGGTGGGGTTTCATTGACAGATAAGGACACTGTAGCTCCAAAGGACAGGTGACCTACTTTCAGGGTAGGAACCTCGCCTGCTCCAGGCTACAAGAATCTGAAAAATGAGCCCTCAAGCAGGAAGAAACAAAAGTCTGACTTGTAGAGGAAAGATATTTTCAGGGTATGGAAAGACTTCAGACCCTCAGTCAGCCTGGGAAGGGAGAAGGACTGGAGGGGCGGGGTGGGGCGGGGCGGGACCTTCCCTGAGGCTTTAGGCTCAGTCCCTCCTCCCTGGTCCCCCATTGGGTTAGTGGCTCCAGCAGCCCTGCCAGTAAGGGACAAATGAGAAGAGCTGTTGATTTTTCCCCCTTGGCCATTCAGAATTTCCCCACGTAAATACTGAGATAGACCCTATCCTCTCCTCACTTTTTCTCTGGATTTGTCCCTGGGCAGAGTCTTGTCCCCTACGGCGGGCAGGGCCATGGGGGACCTGTTTATGCTCAAGGTGGCTGTGGGCATATGCTGTGCCACCTTCAGTGCCTCTGCCTGGTAAGTGCTTCCCCTGACCCCTCACTCCCTGCCAAGGAAGCCCTCATATCTCAGCCCTGTTCACCAATGCCTCACTTTTTCTCTTTCTGGTAGGTCAGTGAACAATTTCCTCATAACAGGTCCCAAGGTAGGATGTCCTTGACTTCTGTTTTCCCCACCCAACTTCCTAAGGGAATTCTTCCGGGGAAGGAAAAGACGGGAGGGGAGACAGTGCCAGAAGTCCCTCACCCAGAGGAACCCATGACTGTTCCTTAATGGAGAGCTAACCATTTAAGTCCTGCCTCCTCCCCACACCCCTAATTTGACACCCTGATCTGAGCCAGGGCTGAAGCTCATAGTCCTTTTCCCTTTGCAAGGCCTATCTGACCTACACCACCAGTGTGGCCCTGGGGGCCCAGAGTGGCATTGAGGAATGTAAGTTCCAATTTGCTTGGGAACGCTGGAACTGCCCTGAAAATGCTCTCCAGCTCTCTACTCACAACAGGCTGAGAAGTGGTAAGTTTGTGCCCCTGTATAAGGGCGTATACGTGCAGGGAGGTGGGCTTGCAGTATGTGTGAATGTGTAGCATATATGTGCATATACGTGAAATAAAAAAGTTATCAGTGATCTGCTGACCTGCTACTTCCTGGCTGTGTAATCTTGAGTGAGTTACTTTCCCTCTCCCAACCCCAGTTTTGTCATTTTGTCATGAGGCCAACTCTGTGTTAGCTACCAGGAGTACTGTAAGGGCTGAATGGGGTTAATACAAAGGTATTTCTATAGAAATGTAATAATTACTCCATTTGTTTAATGCATGCCTGTATTTGTATGTTGCTACACACTCATCTTGCACTGATTTGCATGAAATAAAAAAATGGGGAAAAGGTTCCATGTTTGCAGCCCCTGAGGGAGTTTCCCATCTGCCCAGCTGTCAAAAAAATCCCAACAGCTGAGAAGCTGACAGATCACATTGAGCTGTGCCTCAGGTGGGGTGTGTGCATGTGTGTGCATGTGTGTGGGGGGGGGCAGCTATTTGTAAGTATGTGTAGTGGTTTGCATAAAAGTCATTTACATAGGAACAATAAAGAGTTTTCTAAAAAGAGTTGGGGGAAGGAGTAAAGAAGATGAGGACAAAAAGAAATATCTCTGTGGGGTATGCAGAAAGAACGAGGAGTATGTGGAAATGGAATGGGACAATCTTTATAAAGAGTTCAGTAAGATACAAGCTCAGTACACAGTAGCCATGATCATTGTGATTATTACATAGCTCTAGTTTCATGTCAGAAAGAAGAAAAGTTCCTTCTATTTTTCCTAAGACAGCCTCCCGGCTCTGAGTCCTCACTGCCTAAGGACCAAAGCAGTAGCTAACGACCAGAGGCCTAGGCTGGACTTCAGGAGGGAGGATCCCTGTTCCCAACACCACAGCTGGTGAGGAGAGCAGCCCTGGCTCATCGCTCTCTCCCTGGGTTTTATATGCTTTCCCTCTCTGTAGCATGTAGATGCTCATTCCTGCCTGAATGAAGTAATGATGGAGTAAGGAAATATGTTCTGTTCTTCCAAGTACAAGAACATCCTCTTAAACCCAAGGAGAGCAGGGGACAAGGGAGAGAAACAGCACTGCTTTTCCAGAGCTTCTGCTTTGGGCCATCAGAGTCCGATTTTCCAGTTCCCTCTCTCCACAGCCACTCGGGAGACTTCATTCATTCATGCTATCAGCTCGGCTGGAGTCATGCACACTATCACCAAGAACTGTAGCATGGGCGACTTTGAAAACTGTGGCTGTGATGAGTCAAAAAATGGGAAAACAGGTAAGCTGGGCTCTCTGGTGAGAGAAAGAAGTGAGGAGTGCAGAGCTACGTGTGGACTAAAATCTTCCAGGGAAAGGCCAAGGGCCACAGCTCCAGCTCGCTCAAACCCCTGGACTCCAAGAGCAACTTTGTAGGTGGGAGGTCCTAGACCTAGACTTTCCTGAGAGCTGAGCCTAGGTCCATGATGCCAGTAATAGCACGTAGCACAGAGCTCTAAAATAAGGCATCTATGAAGGAGGAAGCCAAAAACAAAACTAACTAATGCTCATATTTCAGGATTAGAATGGTTTGTCCATAATCCAGAGCACTCAATTATTTGTCCCCTAGACTTATTCAGATTTGTCACTAATGAGCGAAGAGGTGACTCTAACAAGACTATTGTAGGATAATGATGCAGAAGTCCAGAATATTTGACCTGTGATGAACCTTTGAGGCCTGCGAGGCCATCCTCAGTGTGCCTGCTTTTACTGTGGGTATAGAGACTAATTGCCAAAAGCTGGGAAGTACCTGAAGGGTGGACAGCTAGCTTTAGGAACAGGATTCCCTCCACCCACCCACCCACCCCAAGTACCTCCATTTCCCTGTCTCACCTTCAGCTGTAGCTTCCCATGGCTCTAGGGCACGTGGGGATGGCTTGCCCGTGTCAGCCAAGATGACCATGGCTCTTCCCCTGGGACTTGGTAGGGAACTAAATGCACAACGTACTCTGTTCTTATGTGCAGGAGGCCATGGCTGGATCTGGGGAGGCTGCAGCGACAATGTAGAATTTGGGGAAAGGATCTCCAAACTCTTTGTGGACAGCCTGGAGAAGGGAAAGGATGCCAGAGCCCTGATGAACCTTCACAACAACAGGGCAGGCAGGCTGGTAGGTATAGGAGTTGGCCAGTCAGCCATCATTGACAACAGCTTCATATCTGTACTTCACAACTTACAAGAGCTACCTCCTATCCATGTTTCATCCTCATGCCATGCAGCAGGACTGGGATGACTGCCCCTGCTCTCCGGATGACAAAGCCAGTTAAGGTCAAGCCAAGGGGCTTAGTCAAGGCAATAAAACTAACAAGCATCATAGTCAGACAAGGAACTCAGATCTTCTAGTCTAGTCCCCTTATCACTAACCCTTGTGCTCTGGCCCCTCTACAGGCTTGACTTCTATGACTTAAATTTTTAACCCTTTCAATGGCATGTTCTAGGAAATTAATAGGGGCTTATCATCCAGCCCCTGTCCTAAGGTCTGTCTGGGCTTTAAGGGATTGGGACTGATGCAGGCTTCTCTGGAGGGTTTATTCTCTGCTCAGGCTTCTGGTGGGGTGGCAATCCCTGAAGTATTCTGATCTCAGATCTGAAAGCAAGTTGGATTTAGAGCTAAGAGCACAGAAGTTTCCCTTTGAACCTATATTTAGATGTTCTGGTTGCCCAGGGCAAGGGGAAGAGGTCTTCAAAGCAATTACAACCATGGGTAACTGCTTTGGAGTAGAGGTCCCAAATCCAGGAGATTCCTTCCCTCCGGGAGAGGGTCCAGAGCACCAATCTAGGTCCCCACAAATACTCTAGCCCCTGGCTTCAAAACAATAACCGTGCCAATGACCGTATTTCTCTCTATAATTTATGAAGTACTTTCTTGATCATTCTTTTATTCCAATTAGGCAGACAAAGCTACAAGTTCAGCAAGTGATGAAGTTTGGGCCTGGAGCCTAGGTTTCCTGACTCCAGTAACCTTTTCAATATTTGTCTGGCTTTCCTTAAAAATCACCCAGGGGAGCTTTAAAATCAATACCAAGGCCCTTAAACCCTTGAATATTCTAATGAATAAGATCTGAATTAGGGCCCAGGAATAAATATTTTTCAACACCTTCCCCAGGTAATTCTGATGCTCCACCAAAGTTAAGAAGCACAACTCTAAAATATTCTATTTAATTGCTAATTTTTGGTCTTCCCTACCCAGAGCTATTCTCTCATTTGTTCTCTCTCTCTCTCTCTCTCTCTCTCTCTCTCTCTGTGAAGGCAGTGAGAGCCACCATGAAAAGGACCTGCAAATGCCACGGCATCTCGGGGAGCTGCAGCATTCAAACATGCTGGCTGCAGCTGGCTGACTTCCGGGAGATGGGGGACTACCTAAAGGCCAAGTATGACCAGGCATTGAAAATTGAGATGGATAAACGGCAGCTAAGGGCTGGGAACAGTGCCGAGGGCTGCTGGGCACCCACCGAGGCCTTTCTTCCTAGTGCAGAGGCTGAGCTGATCTTTTTAGAGGAGTCGCCCGATTACTGTATCCGCAATTCCAGCCTGGGCATCTATGGCACAGAGGGCCGGGAGTGCCTGCAGGACAGCCACAACACATCCAGGTGGGAACGACACAGCTGCGAGCGCCTGTGCTCTGAGTGTGGCCTGCAGGTGGAAGAGAGGAGAACTGAGGCCATCAGCAGCTGTAACTGCAAATTCCATTGGTGCTGTACAGTCAAGTGTGACCAGTGTAGGCATGTGGTGAACAAGTACTACTGTACACGCTTCCCAGTCAGTACTTGGTCCCAAAGCAAAGGCAACCCCTGATTTAAACACCCCACACAAAATTACTTGCTCAGCTGAATGACAATGGAGGGAGACACAGCTTCTCTCTTGGAGAGAGTAGACTGGAAAACAATTGAAAAATCACAGGGTTGGCCTGTAGTCCTCTTGATATCTGCTAAACATGGGAAAATTGAGGCTCAAGATAATACAGCATATTCTTGACAGCTGAAATTGGAATTTGGGCCTCCTTATTTGGGCAGACCACATTTCATCTTCCTACAAGTTACTACTTGGTCTTTGTACCTGTACTTTTGCAGCTTGTTTGGTTTGGAATCCATATCCAGAGGGACCTTCAAAGTACATTTGCCTGTAAGTTTCAGACTACGCTCAACCTAGCTGTGCTGCTGAGAATCAGAGGGGATGGAAGCAAAAAATGAAAGAGCTCTGTCCAGATTCTTGAAGGAGCCACCTCCCCATACTCTGGCTAGCTCCACAAAGACCAGCTACAAGTTCATGCAGATGAGTGGGGCAGATACATACCTGCCAAGTGGGAGGCTTTCAGGGTGTTGGGTTTTTCACCTGAGTATGCACTTTTGAAAAATTCTTCCCACCCAACCCTGGCAAAACCAGGAGCCAACATAACCTGAGGACTTTTCCAGCTCAGAAACCATCTCTGGAGCCATGGAGAAATAATAATGGTCCCAGTGTCCCAGTAAGTGGACAGGTGACAACAACTTACCCAGACCCCATGTCCACCACCAGAGGGATTTTCTCCCAAAGAGCTGTAAAACAACTCTATTTTGTTATTTTCCCAGATTGGGAACTCACTTTTTTTTTGTAATAAATGCTTCTAGAATGTGTACCCAGCTGAGACCTTTTATTTCTGTCTTTGGAAAACTTAGGATCAGAAAGGGAATGGGAAACCCTGCTTCTGTATTCCAATTATGCACAAGGCTAAGGGAGAAACTGGAATTATCCAGCCCCCTTGATATCAGTATTTGACATATAAGAAAATGGAGACTAAGGAACTTGCCAAGAGAAAAACAATTCAGATTCCCAGATTTAAAGGAGCTATTTTAATGCAACCTAAGCAACCTGAGGAACAAGGAAGCCCTTTGAACTTGAACCACATTCAAAGTGTGTTTACCCTTTTAACTTGGGCTTCCTAGGGTGTCTGTACACCAAGTACCTGGGCCCCAGGGCAAGAGACTGGGAAAGTTGTGGATTCTACCTTCCTCATTTGCACTTCTACCTCTTCCACTGGCAATCTTTGGGGGAGGAGTAGTTTCTCCCAAAAATCCCTGGGGGCACAGCCATTGGTCTCCTAAATCTGAGCGTTTCAGCCTTGGGTCCAGGTGGGGTGGTCTCCTCTCTCTGCAAACGCCAAGCATAAATTATTTTTTTAAATGCCAACAGGAAATAACCAAGGCTTTATTTATTTTTTGAGTGAAAAGGAAAATGAAATGTTCATTAAGGAAGTTGGTGTCTCAAGAGAAACCATAAGTCGGTGCCTTGAGGGTCCACTCTGGTGTTTTTAAAAACCACAGATGCCAGAGACAAGAAGAAATCCATAAAAATTTAGCCTATGTCAAAAAAAAAATAGAACATTTACTATATCTCCCTCCTAAGGAAGGTAGAGAAACACACTACAGTTAGCAACAGAGAAAGAAAATGTGGTGTATGCGTATGTAGAGGTAGTGGAAGGGGGAATGGAAGATATACTATCTAAGCACAAAATTGTGGTGAAAAATAGACAACCAAAAGATTGTTTCCCTGCAACACTGAGAAAAACACATGAATCTCTCTGATCTTGAGGTTAAACCCTCAATAAACATAGATGTCAAAGCCCCCATCATGAAACCTGAGTTGTGATGCTGTGTGAGGGAAATGAACAACCTGGGTTTTCTCCCTGTGTTCCAAACTAAACCTCCATCCAAAGGACCAAGGTACCTGATGCTTTGACATTTTCCCCAGGACCTCGCTGACATTCCGAAATAGTCTTAGGGGGGATTTTCAGAAACAAAACCGTCCCTACTGCCCTGTCCAAACTGTCATTCAAGAAGAAGATGCCTATGTTTTCTGTGGGTTTATATCTGAGGTTTTCACTAATGAAACCCAGAGCAACTGGGAATTCCATGAAAAGTTTGTCAACTTCCCCAAAAAGCCCAATAGTCCCACTCCTTCCAAGCCTCATTCATCTTACCCTTGTGGCAATCAATCACATCAACCAATCCTCCCACATGGACCCTGGGCCAGAAACTAAAGGAATTCGAATTTCTCTACATCCATCACCTTCCTGTCAGGGACTCATTCCAAGGCATTACAGTGTCATTCAGATTCATTAGTTACCACCCTGCACCCCTCCCCTTTTGGCTCATCCTTAACAAGGGGGCTATCATAAGGTGACAGAACAGTAAAACCCCCATGTTCAATAGGTTCAGGACCTCAGACGGGAAGATTCAGACCACAATCTGGTGGTGGATTTGAAAACCTGCCGAAAAAGGAGTCAACTCAGTAAGGGAAAGATGCCCATGAGCCTCTCCCCATATTTTAGTAAATCCAGGCACTGCACTTCAAATCACCTGGAGAATAGAAGCCTGTATTTTCTCAGTCTAGATTAAAAAGGAAAATATACTTATGCTTGTCAGGCCCCTACAAAAGTTTTCCTCCTTCTCCTTCTTCCCACCTGACTTTTGTTGTAGGTGGAATTAGGACTCCTTTTCCTAGAGTGTCCTATGGTCCCCTGCCAATCTCCTCAGGGCTTGCTGATGGGTTATACAGGTAAGTGGGAAGGAAGTGACTGAACACCTACTGTCATGTACTTAGTATATATTATCTCCATTAATCCTCAAAACAATCCAATTAAAATGTTACAATTATTCCCCACTTACTACTGTGGAAAGAGGCTCAGAGAAGTTAAGCATCCAATCTAAAATTAAACACAAAGGAGGTGGATTTGAATTCAGGCCTTCTACCAATACTCGTTTATACCACTTACACTCTGGGAGCGCAGGGATCTCCAGCCATAATCTTTACAGTATTGACAGCTTTGTAGAGTGACTACCATTCATATGCAGTGAAAGGTGTCCTCTTCCTCCCTCTTCTGTAAATAAGAGAGTCACATTTCTCAGCCCTTCTCTGAATGAAGAAACCTAACTTTTGACTTGCAAAGGCCTTCCTTAGAATGATAAAGCAGATAGCCTGACTCCTGCTGACTTGGGAGGGCAGAATCCTGGTTCTCAGGGGGGACTCAATGAAAAAGGCTAACCATTATGGTCTATATTAGAGGTCAAAGTTTCAAAAGAAATGCCAAAGGAGGGGTGTTTATTTTAGAGGACAAAGGAAGGAAAAACAGAATTTGGAGAAAGACAAATTTCTAGCTCCAGATCACAAATTATTCATAATTCTTGATCACAAAAGACAGTGACTCAGAGCCCAGATGTTTGGGTTGGGAGAAAATGAAATGAAAGTAAGGAGCAGAGCAAAGAAGAGGTTAAAGACATTTGGTAGGACTAGAGTTCCAAACCACCTGATCCTGCGGCATTCCCTACACTGGAAGAAGGCTGGCTTTAGAGGACGAAACTATCCCACTCAGGATCGCTGAGCGAGATGGCTAAACACATAATACTTGACTCCAGGGCCCCGAACACTGTCTATGGCTGGTGCTCTGCCCACCCGGTCAGGCTGCCCTTTTCATGAGGAGGACGATGCATGATGACCAATGGGAATGATTAAGGAAACTAGGCCACAGCTGTGGGAAGCTGCAAACTAAACTTGGCCAGTGAGAGACTAGAGAAGCTCTGAGTAATGAAAGTGGGGATTGTGGGTAGGCGGTAGGTGGGATGTAAGGGAAAGGCCTGGTGGTGCATCGGGTGCCCAGATTTATTCACATGTTCCTCTCAGATCCTCAGGTATCCATGCAGACCTAAATGTAACTCAGTGATCCTGAGAAGATCCCTTGTCATTTCATCACCAAGAACGTCTTACAGACTATACCAGATCACATGATTCCACCACCTGCTTCTTATCAGGAGAGCTCCCAATTCAAAGCTGAAGAGAGAGAAGTACATTGTGCAGTGTTCTGAAATACCATTAAGGAGAAGGAAGCCCATCCTTCCCCTCCTGGGAATGCTTATTAGGACATTTGCTGCATGTCTAACCTGAATCAGCACTGCTACATTTTAGGCCTACCAAATCTTCTAGGACCACTCACGAATTCAGGCCTTCAAACACTTCTTTTCTCCAGGCTAAGTAACTTTAATTACTCCAGTTTTCCACTAGTTCTCTCTCCTACTCTTCTCCTTAGGCTGTCTTCAAATGTCTCCTTTGGGTTTCTATGAGGAGTTTGTGGGATGTGAACCCTTCTCAAGCCTCAACTGCCATCACCTCTTTGACCTCAAGTGTCTGAAGAATCTACCTATTCTTGGCTGTCACAGAACTCTGATGGTCCTATGAGATTCCACCTGCATTTTTCCCTTGTCCAAGGTTCATCTCTAACCCCCTCAATTTCAGCCAAGTAGCCTTGATTCTCAGCACCATCAGCTGGAACCTCAATCATCACAGCCTTCCTGTGCTAGGAGCTTGAGGTGGTGTGGGTGCAAGAACATGAACTTGACAATCAGGATATACTTCTTTCTCTGCTCTCACCCATGGAGAAGTTACATACTCTACAGTTCCCATTTTACCCTGGCCAAGTGGCTCAGTTGATTGGAGCATTGCTTTAATACCCCAAGGTTGCGGATTTGATCCCCAATCAAGGCACATACGAGGATCAAACAATGAATGTATAAATAAATGGAACAAGGTCCTGGTTGGTGTGGCTCAGTGGACTGAGCACCAGCTTGCAACTGAGAGCTCACCGGTTTGATTCCTGGTCAGGGCACAGGCCTGGGTTGCCAGCCAGGTCCCCAGCTGGAGGGGTGCAAGAGGCAACTGATAGATGCTTCTCTCCCTCCCTTCCTCCCTCCTTTCTCTTCTCTCTAAAAATGAATAAATAAAATCTTTTTTTAAAAAAAATAAGTGGAACAAAAAACTGATCTCTCAAATCAATAGATTTTTTAAAAACCATTAAAATTACAATTCCAGTTTTATTTCTCTGTTGATGACTCCCAAATCCCCGTCTCTGTGCACGTGCTAAGCACAGCAGCTCTACTATTTCACTGGCCATTTCTACTTGAGTGACAGAATTGGTTTTCTCTTATGGTTCCTGTTTCTATCAGTGGTCAATGACATTTTCAGTGCCTGAGGCTTACTTCTGAGTCATCCTTGATGCCTCCCTTTGTTGAACTTTTCATATTTAGTCATCTTCCTTTGTTTTGTCCTCCAAACCTATCCCCTCCTCTGCATTATCTCTACCTACACTCTGAACTATTGTACCTTGTACATGATTTTCACACAAACTTAATAACCGGTATATAGCCTGTCAGCTCTCCACCTA